AGGGAAAAAGTAAACCAAACATAGATGCACACTTCTAGAAAATAGAGAAGTGCATATGTTCTCCAGTATATTTATTGAGATTGGCATAATTTTAAACCTCATGAGGACAATTATCCCTAGAACGCCTGAATTTTTAATTTCAGGGGAAAAAATTTATTTTCTTTACTTTCATAGTTATCAATATATATTAGCATATACATTTAATTAAATTTTATGAAAACGTCACGCTTGGCATTTTAGAGTTAAGACAATGGAAAAATGGCAAGCCAAATAAGCATAGATGTGAAATTCCTTTAAAAATATCACCCCAATCCAACAATCTATGAAAAGAGCGATACAGTCTGATTAGCTGGGTAGCATCGGAAGAGCCTTGGTGCCACAGCTGGTGCACTGTGGACTGCTAACAGCAAAGTCGGCAGTTCAAATCCACCAGCTGCTCTGCTGGAGAAGCATGAGGCTTTCTACTTCTGTAAAGAGTTGCAGTCTTAGAAAGCCACCGGGGCGGTTCTACGCTGCCCTGTGCGGCTGCTCGAAGCCGGCATCGATGGCAGTGAACTTGCTTGGTTTGGAATTGGATTTATTCCCGGACTTTGTTATTATCGCAGTCTTAGCAACTGGTAACGCATATCCCGGCATCTTCAGTCGATCAATAAAAGGATCCAAATGGCTCGATTAAACGGGAAATCCGTGGTTCACTCTCACTCACATACTCACTGCCACCCAGTCCTTGCAGAGCCGTGGGGACCCTAGAGAAAGGGTGGGACTGCCCCTTGGGGGTCTCGGAGACCCTAACTCTTTAAGCAGCAGGTGTTTTCCCACTGCCAAGTTTGGGGCTAGCAATCCAACGCTTAACCACTGCGCCACCAGGGTCCCTTGTGGCTCACTAGATTCACAAAAAGCATTGGATTAAAATTTGACATGTGTTAGGAACAAAATCCCTAATAATAAGTAGACTAAATAGATACATTCTTTATCTGAATAATATCCATAGTCTGCTGAAAAATAGAGAAAATCTCCTATTTACCTCCAAAGCCCTACAACAGTGACAGGTGTGCGCCCTTTGTAATACGAGAAGTCTGAGTGCTATCCCACTTCATTCGTGTTGTGTTTGGAGACTTGCTAATGATGAAGGCACTGAAAAGAACAAAATAATTTTTGTTTCGTTTTTAACGCCGGTGATGTGATTGCGAGTACGTAGAAAATGAAAACCCTAACAGCAATAAAGTATTGGATTATTATGAGAAGTGATGGGTTATTAGAACTAATACCACAATACTATCAGAACTAAGGGAAAGTCAGCAAGATTGCTGAATGAAAGACCAAAATACAAAAGCAGGAGCATTACCAAACACTAGCAATCATGTTCTCAAAGTACCGTTTGTCCTCTCATCCAAAAATCATACTGCTAGGAATATATCTTATGAGAGATTTAAAGACTTCTAATCAGAGAACTGTAAAATATTTTCAGACGATCTGGAGAAATATAGACATAATCTATGTGCATGGATTGGCAGACTCAAATAATAAAGATTTTGACACTCTCCCAAAATAAGGCACGGAGTTCACACAGTTCCAGTCAGAACCCCTCTGTACCCGTGTACAGCATTACAGGAGGACTGTATCCTTTGTATGGAAATGTAGCAGGTCAGGAATTAACCATGATGTTCTTGAAAAAAGATGATTAGGGAGGGAGAATGTGTTCTACTGGACACCTGGGATTTATTTTATTTAAAAGCTGCAGGAATGAAAACTGTGGTATTAATGGAAGACTCAACAAATAGAGTAGAAGACAGAGCCCAGACGCAGAGCCGTGCATCTAGGGATAGTGGGTTAAGGGTGGAAGTGATACTGGGGCAGAAGGAAATATCTGTATTATTAATTAATGTGCAGGGATCATCAGATAACTACAGAGAAAATGCATTTGAATGTATGAAAATCTCTTTTCCACTTGTTTCTGCGATCTAAGAGAAAATACAGATTTAAATAGGATAGAAGATACTGCCCATAAAGGAAAATTATTAGATTTCATTACATTTAAAGTGTCTATTTACCAAACACACCTACACACACTGTAGAGTAGAAAAGTAAACACAGCAGAGAAGACATTTAGCAACACACAAAACAAGCAAGCGGCTCAAATCCCAAATATATGACAAACAACAAAGCATAAGAAATAGGCAATCCAATGGAAAACAGGTGGAATATTAAGGGCTGAGTTGGAGGGCAAATGACAGGTAGAAGCATTAAACAGGAACATCCAAAGGAATAAAATCCAAATGGCTAATAAATAGGAGGAGTTGCTCAACCACCTTAGTAACAAGGAGATGTAAATTGAACCAAATTACTAGTGTATGCCCCCAAGAACAGTGTGTTATTCTGGGTAGACTAGAGAAACAAATTCAGAGACTCTCCTGTGTATAAGAAAGAACTTTATATACAAGAGCAATTGACTATTGATAAAACATCCCAGCCCAGTCCAGATCAAGTCCATAAGTCCGATAGTAGCCCATATGTCCGATACCCATCTATAAATGCCTCTTCAGAATCACACAATACATGCAATGACGCCGAATGCAGGAAGATCACAGGCCAGTGGGTGGAAAGTCTTGTGGATCCAGTGGCAGTAGAGGCATCTCAGTACTGATGTGGGTCTCCACGTGGTTCCTTCAGCGCCACAGCTCTAGCATAGCTCCATGTGTCCTGTCAGCAATCATGTCTCACAGGGAATGAGCACGTGTCCCGCCTCCAAAAAGCTATTTATCTCCTTAGCGCCTCCAAATGAGGTCATCAAGTTGTGACCCAATGGACAGGCTAACCTCCACCCCTTCACTCTTAAGTCTCAAATTGACAGCAAATTATGTAACGACCACAAACAGCAAACATTCAAAAGCCTGCCAATACTAAGTGTTGGTGAGGTGTAGGTTTATTCCGGGAACTCTCATATTTCTGGGGAGAGTTTGAGTGGGCATAACTCCTTGGAAAACAGATTGTTATTATATAGTAAAGTTGAAGAAGACACATGTCCTCTGACCAAGCTCTGGTGGCACGGTATATCTCAAATCGGTAGATTACATGCTAACCACAGGTGGTTCAAACGTACCAGCGGACCCTCAGGAGGGAGACAGGTGAGGCTTGCTGCTCCCGTCTCA